ATTGTATGCTCCCTGTACCCAGCCCCCGTTAGAAATCTGGCTGCCGAGCGTTGGACTAGCTGCAGCTTCCGGGCAGTCTTCAGAGGCAGCCCCATGTAGAGAGCAGTAATCTAGACGGAATGTATAGCCAATTCTTCAAGAGTAGCACATTTACTTAGAACAGTGTTTCTCAACCTAATGCCACAACCTCTTAATACAGTTCCTCATGGCGTGGTGACCCCCAACCATAAAATTATTTTCGTTTCTACTTCATATCTGTAATTTTGCTATTGTTATGAATCGTAATGTAAATATCTGATATACAGGATGCATGTTCATTCACTGGTTGAAATTTGGCACAAATACCTGATATGCCCAAATTTGAATACTGGTGGGGATGGGGGGGGGGGGAGATTGATTTTGTCATTTGGGAGTTGCAGTTGCTGGGATTTATAGCTAACCTACAATCAAAGAGCATTCTGAACTCCACCAACAATGGAATTGAACCAAACTTGGGACACAGACCGCCCATGACCAGCAGTAAAATACTGGAAGGATTTGGTGGGCAATAACCTTGAGTTTTGGAGTTGTAGTTCACCTACATCCAGAGAGTACTGTGGACTCAGACAATGATGGATCAGGACCAAACTTGGCATGGATCCTCAATATGACCAAGTGTGAACACTGGTGGAGTTTGGGGAAAATAGAACTTGACGTTTGGGAGTTGTAGTTGTTGGGATTTATAGTTAATCTACAATCAAAGAGCATTCTGAACCTCACCAATGATAGAATTGGGTCAAACTTCCCACACAGAACCCCCATGACCAACAGAAAATACTGTGTTTTCTGATACCCCCCCAGGAGTCCCGACCCCCAGGTTGAGAAATGCTGACTTAGAAGAACATTATGTGAACTGCATAGATCCCGTGGATCATTCATCTGATGGATGGGGGGAGCCCCAAAAGTATTTGAGTCAGAGCTGATTTGATTTTGGGTAAATGCCCCAAGATGTATTGCATACACTATAGGACAAAGACACATTTTCTTGAAGCACTGATATGAATGATGTAGAAAACACTGAGACCAACGACTATGGGAAAGAAAGCATCCATCTCCACTACTATTACCCATATATCATCATATACGTAAGGAATCAATTAAGTCTTAGTAAAACATTGAAATGATAAGGCCTTCGGAAAGGTTGACAAGAATTGACAGGGAAATGTACTTGGGTTTCCTGAGCCAAGCACTTTCTAATATTTTTGTTTCGTTCTGGATGCTTTTCTATCACGTGGTAACATGGAAAATGAGGATTTAATTATGTTGTCAGTGTTTTTCACGCTATGTTAGATTTGCTACTCAGATTTGCAGTGACCAACCATCCCTCTTTCTGTTTCAGCAGCAAGACTACAAACTTGATTTCCAAAAGCCACTTAAGGAATAAGATACAAACAACAGTTAATTCAGAATGTTTTATAGAAGAGAGAAAGATACAATGGAACCTAGTTACATATCTATCTACCTACCTAATTACCTATCTATGTAAAATTGTTCGCAAGTTTTGCTATGGTATTGATCACAAATTCATATGATCAGATATATGGCTTTTTTGGTTTTAGTGTGTGTACCAACCTGAGCCAGTATTTTTAAACCAGGTTCTGGTTTGTGGATCTCAGGGTTTAATACAAAATGAAGAGGAATCATAAACCTGAAATCTGATAAGCTGTGTAACAGATCTGGAATAGGGAAAGACTTAATTTTACTAGCAGACCACTTTTGTATAGAGGTTCCTGAAAATGCAAACTTATGATAGGAAGCCACACACTGACTAATCCTGGCTTGACTATTACAGCATAAGTAGAAACATTCAGGCTGTGGGCAGAGTTTCCTGAGGATTTGTCTGAGATGACACTGAACTCCAGCCATTCTGCAACCCATACTTAGAAATGCTTGCTATTGTTGCTATATATATATTTTACCACTGAGAAATGCTCTCATCAGCTCTGACTCAACTTTCCTGGACTATGGAGCTCCCTGTACAAAAGGAAAGGGATGGCTATAAGGTTAGCAATACAGAGAAAAGATTCCCTTAAGTACAAGGACAGGAGGCCACTATAAACAAAAATATAATACAATAATATAAGCCATATGGCTTATATTATTTATTTATTTATTTATTTATTTATTTATTTACTATGCTTATATACCGCTGTATCTCAAGCCCGAGGGCGACTCACAGCGGTTCACAAACAGTAAAGACAATAAAAACAGCAATAGTTCAATAAACAATGACAATTAGTTTACACATTTCCCTTAATAACTAATAAACAATCCCAATACACAATTATTACAAACCCCATCCCCAATCKCCTCATCATCCATGCATGATCCAAATTCGTTATCCATKGTTCCGTTCCTATGTTCARTTACCAGATTGCACTAAATTACTCAAACRCCTGCACAAACATCCAGGTCTTCAACTTTCTACRGAATGCCATAAGAGAAGGTGCCAGCCTAATGTCTGTAGGAAGGGCGTTCCACAGCCGAGGAGCCACCACCGAGAAGGCCCTATCTCTTGTCCCTGCCAACCGTGCCTGGGAGGCCGGCGGGATCGATAGCAGGGCCTCCCCGGAAGATCTCAAAGTCCGGGTGGGTTCATAGGCTGAGATGCGGTCAGAAAGGTATCTTGGGCCAGAACCGTTTAGGGCTTTATAGGCCAATACCAACACCTTGAATTGAGCCCGGTAGCAAATCGGCAGCCAGTGGAGCTGGTGCAACAGGGTGGTTGTGTGCTCCCTGCGCTCCGCTCCTGTTAGAATCATGGCTGCCGCGCGTTGGACTAATTGCAGCTTCCGGGCCGTCTTCAGGGGCAGCCCCACGTAGAGGTTTGTAATATTATTGTATTATAGTATTGTTTATAGTGGCCTTTTGCCCTTATAAGGTTAGCAATGGGCTCACTTATCCAAAATATCCCTCTCCAGATGTGTTTGTGGGCCGCTCTAGATCAACCAGTGCTATTTAATAGGAAGTTTCCAGCTGAAGAAGAGTCCAAATATAGTGTTCTGTAGTATCCATGGTTTCAGTATCCACGAGGATCTTAGAACATATCTTCCAGGGATAAGGTGGTTGCATTGCATTTGTATTAGGGGCCAATAAAAGCTGCTTTCTTGACTGAAGAGTGACTATGCCAAGATATGGAAAATCTTAACACTCTTTCGATGTCTTCATCGTCTAGAATTCTGTAAATCTGCTGTAGTCATTATGTCTTGTTTTCTGTAAACCTTCAGTGACTACCTTCAAGTCTTTCCTGTTTTCTCCCAGTAGCATGCTGTTATCTGCATACCTTACATCGGAGCTTTCCAAACATTTCATGTGGGTGGCATACTTTGTAGACACATATCATTTTGGGGCACAATAATTTGGTTTAACTGGCAAACCAGAGGTTAAACTAACTCCTTATAAGAGATACAGGTGCATACATAAATTGTAATAATGGAATGTATGGGGATGCAACATCTCTTATGAAAAGCTTTCATTTTTATACTTTAAAATATATTATTTGTAAGACAATAACATGCATTTCCAAGATTTCCCTTACGTTCCCATGACACTCCTACACACTGCAGCTAACACACTAATGTGTCTAGGACTGTGTGATGTATTTTCAAATGTAGTGGATCACACGTTGGACACTTCCCAAGTGTCTAGAACTGTATGATGTATTGGTGAATAATGCATGCAGATCCCAGTAAGGTGGCCTTCTGAATTTTGTCAGTGCTGATTGTGTTTAAGTGCAGGCCAAGGTATTTAGGCACTACACCCAGTGTGCCAATCACCACTGGGACCACCTTGACTGGCTTGTGCCAGAGTCTTTGCACTTCGATCTTTAAATCCTCATATCGTGTCAACTTTTCCAGTTGTTTCTCTTCAATCCTGCTGTCGCCTGGGATTGCAATATCGATGATCCACGATCATGAGGTCAGGAGTATTGTGCTCTGAAACTGTCAGTCTGAATTATTATTATTATTATTGAGACAAAAGCACAGTATGTCACAGCAAACGAGATCTATATGCTGGATTTAGAATCACAAGTCAAACACTTCCCAAGCATCTAGGACTGTGTGTATTTTTGAATGATGCATGCAGATCCAAGTAAGGTAGCCTTTTGCAGTTGACAGATCGTGATTTTGTCAATGTTTATTGTTTCCAAATGTCGGCTGAGATCTTTTGGCACGGCACCCAGTGCACCAATGGCCACTGGGACCACCTGTACTGGTTTATGCCAGACCTTTGCCATTCGATTTTTAGGTCTTGATAGCGGCTGAGTTTTTCCTGTTGTTTTTCCTCAATGTGACTGTCACCTGGTATGGCGACATCAATAATCCAGACTTTTTTCTTTTCCACAGTCGTGATGTATGGCTTATTATTATTATTATTATTAGAAACACAACAAGATGAGTCCACACGGCAGACACTCTGCTGGCTGTTGTAGTGGATCACAGGTCGGACACTTCCCAAGTGTCTAGGACTGTATGATGTATCGGCGAATAATGTGTGCAAATCCCAGTAAGGTGGCCTTCTGCAGCTGGCAGATGGTAATTTTGTCAGTGTTGATTGTGTTTAAGTGCAGGCCAAGGTCTTTAGGCACTGCACCCAGTGTGCCGATCACCACTGGGACCACCTTGACTGGCTTGGGCCAGAGTCTTTGCAATTCGATCTTTAAATCCTCATATCGTGTCAGCTTTTCCAGTTGTTTCTCTTCAATCCTGCTGTCACTTGGGATTGTTATTATTATTATTAAGATGGCCTGGGTCCAGACCCTGGCAGTGTAGACCCAGCCGAAGAAGAGAGGCCTGAGAAACAACCACCCCGGCCCCCCACCCCAGCGGGAAGAGGCTCTCCTTCCGAAAGCAAGAGTGTGCCTTCTGAGGGCGTCACGTGGGGAGGGGCGTGGCTTGGGCCAGCCCTCCTTTTCCCGCCCCTTTCTCTCCCTCCGCTCAAACCCCGCCCCTGGACCTGGGAAGTGGAGGAGGAGGAGGAGAAAAGGGAGGAAGGAGAAGGAAGAGAGAGAGAGGGAGGGAGGAAGAGGCGCCTTTCTTTCCCCCTCAGTTGGGTTGAGGAGGAGGAGGGAGAGAGGGAAGGAGGAGGCAAGGGGGCGTCTGCAGAGGGAGGGAGCCTCCCTTTCCTCCTCCTCCTCCTCCCCCTCCTGCTCGCCTTCCTCTCCGCCGAGGCCCAGGAGGAGGGAGCCCGGAGCTGCATCCCCTCCGCCGGGGGCCACTCGCCATGGCCACCAAGGTGAGCCTTCCTTTCTCCCCTCAGGCCTCTCTGCCTGCTCGCTCTCCATTCCCGCCCTGCTTCCCTCTGGGCGCGCTTTGGGCGGGTTGCCTCCTCAAATGAAGGGCGTGTGGAGGCTCTTGTTGTTGTTTTTCTTTGAGGGGATCCCCTTTGATCCCTGGCTCCAGAGGCCTTCCTTCCCTGTCAACTTTCCTCGCTGGGCTCACCCAGAGACTGAGAAACTGTGTTGTTATTGTTATTGTTGGAAGTTTGGCCATTAACGGCCAAAGGAAAGCCCATTCTTAGACTGCCTTGGGGAAAATTGGGCAGGGATGGGTTTGACGTGGCTCTCTGCTGTGGGCTCATGGGAGTTGTAGTGTTACAAGGCCTCTGGGATTCTGTGCCCAAAGGCCTCCCTGTGAATGTGGTTTGATACCACTTCAACTGCTCCATGGCTTCTTGCTGTGGAGTAGGCCTCCAGGTGATTTGGACTTCAGCTCCCACAATTCCTTACAGCAGGGGTTCTCAACCTGTAGCTCCCCAGATGTTTTGGCCTTCAACTCCCAGAAATCCTAACAGCTGGTAAACTGGCTGGGATTTCTGGGAGTTGTAGGCCAAAGCACCTGGGGACCCACAGGTTGAGAACCACTTCCTTACAGCCTCAGGCCCCTTAAGTTCCGGGGGGGGGGGAGGAAGGGGCATGAGGTTGATAGGAATTGTGGGAGTTGAAGTCCAGAACACCTGGGGGGCTGAAGTCAGCCCAGGTAGGAACTGGCAAACCCACCTCTTAATTCTTTTTTTTGAGAAACTGCAAGTCGCTTCTGGCATGAGAGAATTGGTTGTCTGCAAGGATGTTGCCCAGGGGATGCCCAGATGTTTTACCACCCTGTGGGAGGCTTCTCTCATATCCCTGCATGGGAAGCTGGAGCTGAAAGACAGGAGCTCACCCGCTCCCTGGATTGGAACCGTCTACCTTGTGGTCAGCAATCCTGCTGGCACAAGGGTTCAACTCATTGTGCCATTGGAGAGAAGGGGGGGGGGCTCCTAAAAAACCATCTCTTAATATTCCTTGCTGAAGAAAACCCTGTGAAATTCATGAGGTCACCATAAGTTGACAGGTGTGCACACACAATTATACAATCTTTTTTTTTGTATCTGTTGTTGGATGTCACAGTGGCGATATCTGGTATATATTCAAACTCTGAAAGATTACAGTCCTGTACAGATAGTCCCCAAGTTACAAACAAGATAGGGTCTGTAGGTTTGTTCTTGAGTTGTATTTGTTCAAAACAGGTACATTTTTGAAGTATAACTCCAGCTTTAATAATAATAATACTATATATATAAATAGTAATATATGAAATAATATTTTATTTATAAAGTGTTGTTATTTTATATAGTATTAGTAGTAGATATATATATGTGTGTATATGTCTGTGTGTGTGTGTAAAGGTAAAGGCTTCCCTGACATTAAATATAGTCATGTTCGACTCTGGGGGGTGGAACTCATCTCCATTTCTAAGCCGAAGAGCCAGCATTGTCTGTAGACACCTCCAAGGTCACATGGCCAGCATGACTGAATAAAGCGCCGTTACCTTCCCGCAGAAGTGGTATCTATTGATCTACTCACATTTGCATGTTTTGGAACTGCTAGGTTGGCAGAAGCAGGGCCTAACAGTTGGCACTCACCCTGCTCCCCAGATTCAAACTGCTAACCTTTCGGTCAGCAAGTTCAGCAGCTCAGCGGTTTAACCCGCTGCACCAGTAGGGGGCCCATATAATATATAAATTTGATTTGGGTAGTGTAGGGAAGGGTTAGCACCCCTGTTGTGTTTGTCTTGCTGTCTGTGTCCCCGTTCAGAAGATTTCACCTCACTTTCTCTTCCTGTCATAATTGGATTTTGGATCAATTGGCTTGTTTTGGAAACAAGGATTGCTGAGAAAGCTTCAGTGGAGACGCCTCTCAGGAGTGAATTTCCCTTCAGAGGGGCAGATTTCTCTCACTTCATGTTGTCTCACCCCTGTTCTTAATGAAGAGTTGTTTGTAAGTCAGATGTTTGTAACTTGCGGACTGCCTGTATAATGCAAATAGCACATATTTGAGGGAACATAATACTGCTGTCCAATATATGCTTATTTGGTAATAAGTCCTGTAGTGTCTGTTTGGTCTTACTTGCTGGTGTTTTTTTTTTCCATTTGGAGTTTAGGCCTACATTGGTTTTTACATGTGCTTCAAAAATACTTTCAAGGGGAAAGGAAGAATGCTTAGAGGTCTCAAGGAAGGAGTTAATGAATGTTAAGGAAATGTTGTTCCAAAATCATTGTGGGTTCATAATGTATGGCTTACTTGTTTAGTTACCACAAAGGATTTTAAAATTCACCTTTTTTTCTTCCTCTTTCTTTGATCTTTCTCATATGTTAGTTTTGGTTGCCAGTCCATGTTTACAATGAGTATTTCCAAATCACTCTATGGAAAAAGCTGTGTCATTTACCTGACCTACAAAACGAGAATCATTGAGTAATCAGTAACTTCTGATCTTCTGTATACCTGTTTTGGAATTTATTTTAGAACATAAATATAGTTATGTTTTTATTATTTTTTGTTCTTACATAAGGCATTGAATTTAATTGGTCACTCAATCTGTAATTATAGTGTGATACTATTAATAATAGTTTATTAATGACAGGGTCATATATTTTGGCAAATGGTAGATTTGTGTGAAGCCCAAAGGAGTGGATTGACAACAAATCGGATAGATAGGACTATTAATAATATTTTCTGTATTGTCGAAGGCTTTCATGGCTGGAATCACTGAGTTATTGTAGGTTTTTCGAGCTATATGGCCATACTCTAGAACAGGGGTCCTCAAACTTTTTAAACAGAGGGCCAGATCACGGTCCTTCAAACTGTTGGAGGGCCAGATTATAATTTGAAAAAAAAAACATGAATGAATTCCTATGCACACTGCACATATCTTATTTGTAGTGCAAAAAACACTTACAAACAATACAATAATTAACATGAAGAACAATTTTAACAAATATGAACTTATTAGTATTTCAATGGGAAGCGTGGGCCTGCTTTTGGCTGATGATATAGGATTGTTGTAGTTGTGTGCTTTTAAGTCATTTCAGACATAGATTGAACCTGAGTGAGGGCCGAGTAAATGACCTTGGAGGGCCGTATTCGGCCCCCAGGCCTTAGTTTGAGGACCCCTGCTCTGGAAGGTCTGACCTCGCATCCTCTGAGGATGCCTGCCATAGATGCAGGTGAAACGTCAGGAGAGAATGCTTCTAGGACATGGTCATATAGCTCAAAAAAACAATATTTTCTATTTGCTGTGATAATCTATAATCTTAACATTGGCAGAAAGTCTTTCCTTTTTATAGGTGAGTTGTTAAATCTCAGATATCTTTTGATTTAGCTTGAACACATGGTAGAAGTAGAGCAGAATCTTTCTGATCATTATTAATGTTTGAACATGATGTTAAACCATAGTTTAACACAATGCAATGGATATCGGTGAACTTTTAATTCATAGTCTTCTTCCCATCTTGTTTTCTGTAACATTGGGGACAAGATCAGAAACCTCTGCTGCTGTTTGTGGTTGTTCAGTGTTGCAAAGTTATTCTTAACTATGTTTAGTGAAATTGGGCCTGGTCTATAGACCATGTTTTATAGTGGACATGTCTTCACTAGCTGTGGCTTGTTGGGTTTGACTTGCAAAACAAACCTTAAGTCCAAAAGCTTTTATTTCCTATTTATATTACCTATCAACTGTGTATGTGTTTTTGTTTTTGTGTGTGTGCTTCATAAGCTGAGGGCCTGTTGTGGCTTACTCTTCTCACACAACTAAACATGGCTATAGAACAGTGTTTCTCAAACTCTGTTCCTCCAGTTGTTTTGGACTTCAGCTCCTAGAAATCCCAGCCAGCTTACCAGTTAGGAATTGTGGGAGCTGAAGTCCAAAACTTCTTGGAGGATCAGAGTATGAGAAACACTGTTATAAAGATTTTATTCCTACATTTTCATTATGAGACCAGCTGAAGCAAAATCCCAGAGGAAATGCCTTGTGCTTGTACAAACGCAGGAATAGCTGTGTTGACTGTAAAACAAATTCCAAAGGCCATATGATGGTACAACTTTTATTAGGCTAACCAAAAACACACAAATATGCATGCCAGCTTTCAAAACCAAAGATTGTTATCAGGCAAAAAAAAAAAGTACTTTAAAAGAAGTACAGAGTAGAGGTGAAATGAAGATGTTGAAGTCCCATGCTTAAGTATGGGTAGAGTACATAGCAATTCAGTTTAGATGCATCGGACACCACCCACAATGGGTCATGTATCTAAATAATCATACCCATGTGATCTTCTGAGCAGTTTTGTCCAAATTGAGTAATCTCATTTGTTTCTTCAGAAGTAGTTCAAGTTTTGCATAGTTTGTGCTGTTTTTCAATAGTCAGCATTCGAACAGGAAAGGAAAAAATGACTTAACCCTGACTTTTACAAATAAGGCATAATTGCTGAGTTATATTTTTCTGTCATCTGCCCTGATGTATAGTTTTCCCCCTTAAATTATCTTTGTCAATATAATAACAAAAAATGAATTTCGAAAAAACTTTAGCTTGAACTCTCAGTCTAAAAGGGCCAATAAACATTCTTTTTCCCCTTTACATTTTCATTATTAGATGACTTAGTTTTAATTTTTTGTGACATTTCCATATTGTGCCGTTATAGTGTACTAAAAGTAATTACAAATAAAGTTATTGAAAACTGTAATTTCAGTTTTGTAGCTAAAATTTGTAAGCATGTTAGGGTTTTTTGTTTTTTTGTTTATTTTGCTACTTGGATTTTTAACTATATACTTAAATGTCTCCAATATTTCATAAAAATATAGTTGTTAAAAATAAAACAGCAAGTCAGATGGTCAATCTTTATTATCATGATTAATGACCAGTGATGACAAAAATAATAACTAAGTGTTTTCAGTGGTAATTATACCTGCTTGCATGTGAAGT